ACCCCCCAAATCAAAATTTTATATTTTTTAATCGAAAACTCAGTCAAAGAAGGGATCATGATTAAACCCACAAGAGAATTTTGATCACGAAACTCAATAGATAACAAAAACAAAAGGTTTTAGACTTTGGATGCTAATAAATAATAAACGATCAAAAACTCTGTCTTTAATGTGTGTGTGTGTGTGATCGTATGTGACTGACAAGAGAGAGAGAGAGAGAGAGAGAGAGAGAGAGAGAGAGAGAGAGAGAGAGAGAGAGAGAGAGAGAGAGAGAGAAAGAGAGATTAGTATTGCTGTGAGATTAAGAGAAGTATTGATTGGAATATACATATATATATATATAGGGACAGAACCGAGTAACCGACTTCCCCATCACAGGTTGCGTTTGATTTTTTTAAGTCTTTAGATAGAAAGAAAAGAGAGAGAGAGATTGAGATGCATGGTGAATGTGTTCATTCATCATCATCATCATCCATAGCTATTTGAAGGGCATTATTGGCTTTTTCTCTTTTAAATCTCATTCTCTTGTATGTTTTATACATCTCTTTTTAATAATAATGGACATTCTAATCTAAGATTATCCATAGTTTTTTAGCCAGCTCTTACCTTAAGATTTGTTAAGAGATGTCTTTTAACAAATCTTAAGGTAAGAATTGGTTAAAAGCCATGGTGGTGTCGACATCTTCGAAAGTACATCTCAATCATAATCCTACTACATCACATAATAATCTATTTGCAAATTACACTATTGTAGTGTTTTATACAAATGGTATGTGACTCGGTGTCAAGATAGATATGTCTACTTATCTCGCTCAGGGAAAGATATGTGTCTACATTTCAAGTACTCCAAAAGCTTACATCTTATTTAGATTATAGTTTCTATTTATAATTCAAATTAGAGTTATCATTCTATTTTTATTTGTAACGTGACACGTAACATATTCGTTTGTTGCATAATATGTTAACTTCCTTTACTTTCACTAAATAAGAATAACCAGATTTTATTGTCTTATTGGCTGCCACTAAATATACATGGAAACAAATTTCACGTTACTTCATTATAAGTAAAATTCATTATTATTTAGATAGTCTCGATGTTATCTCATTATTTAGGTTACATTTTTCATCAAAAAGAAAATGAAAAAAACTCTTGATGCCAAATCATTAGTTAGAATCGCCAAGTATAATAAATGAAGAATATTACATTGCTAACAATTATAAGTAAATCATTAAACTAGACTTATTTACTAATCATTTATAGAGATTCTATCACATTTTGACCAAAAAAAAAAAAGATTCTATCAGATTTTATATATTCTATTGATGTTAAAAAAAATTATTACATTCTATCACATTTCAGTTATATGTTTATGTTCTTTTAAAATATAGCTGTAACTAAATAACTAATATACAAAATTTATCCTATAAATTGTATAGGACATTTATATGTAGTATCAAAATAAAATAATCAGGATGTGTAACTGGAAAATAAAATTGTTTTTGAGAAAATATATTTTTTGACTAATTTACAAATAAATAGATAAAAATAGGATAGTAAAAGTAAAACATAGATTCTACTAAAAAGAAGAAGTAAAAACAAATAAATATGATTTTGGCGTTGGTAAATGTTTCAAACACCATTTACGTATGAAAGTTATCATAAAAAATTAACTATAAATATTTATCATAAAAGTCTAGGAACCGATTAGGCGTTTTAGACATTAGTTTTTGGATCACCGCTTGTTTTACGCGTAAAATTTTATTAAAACTTTCAGGAAAAAAATTCTTATAGATGTTAGCAAACATATAAAACGGTGTTAACAAATTTAACGAGAGTGAAATTAATAATTTTATGTATTAAAACAACAAAAAATCATTTCTTTTTTCCATATATTGTTTTTACATTATTTGTTTTAAAATAAATATATTCAATTTTATTGATACAAATTAATGAGATTAATATTGTTATTGAAGGTGAAATATTAACAAATAATAGTTAGGTTTTATTTTTTTCTTTTTCTTTTGGATTCAGCATAATATAGTCGAAGATAAAAAAATAATATCAAGCCTTTTAGATCATTGGGCCTAGAGTTTCCAAAAAGCCCATGAGATGTCATCGCACAGAACTACAGATAGAGTCAAAGGTGGTGATAAGGGGTTTTAGAATTTTTTGGTTTTTGTTTTGTAATTTAACTTCATTTTGTTTTGGTACCGGAGATGTTTGCACAGTTAGCGCCATCGCCGTCTCCCTCTCCGGCGAACCTAAGCCGCTTCGGCCAAGGTCGAAGTTTCCGGAAATGTACTTACGCCGTCTCCGCTTCTCTTCCCACTGCGAATTCTTCTCGTCCATCAATTCAGGTAAACATGATCCATTCAATTGTTACTTCGTGCTCTTCTTTGTTATCTGAACTGAAATTGAGAAAATTGGAAACTTGGTTTAACAAGATTGCTGGAGGAAAAGATTTGAATTTGGATGTCACACGAAAGGATGATTCAGTTGGGTTCAAATTAGAGGCAAATGAAGATGAAATCGATTGGATGAATCTAGAATCTGATATTCGTCTGTGGACTAGAGCATTACGTCCTGTTCAGGTATATCAATTACGAGATTTTATCGATTTTGTTTTGTTTTTCCGGATTATGAGTTTGTTGTTTACTGTGTTTGTGGCTCTTGATTTAACAGTGGTATCCAGGACACATAATGAAAACTGAAAAGGAACTCAGGGAACAGCTTAAGCTTATGGATGTTGTGATTGAAGTCCGAGATGCTAGGATTCCTTTATCAACTACTCATCCAAAGGTTAGTGGTCTCTGATCCAATTTTTAGAATTTAGAGTAAGATTGTTTTGCTTATAATATTGCTTCTTGTGGTGGGAAAGTTAGAACATGTAAACTGAAATTGGTTAGTGGGTAAGCGTTGATTAGGTTAGCTTTTCAGTTGTTGAGAAACGAATACTTGAGTCTGGTTTTTAGAAGGGAAGTACAAAATTTTGTGTCTCTCGGGTACGAGAAGTTTTCACTGGAATAGTTTCTATTTATATTGGCTTTGGGGTACACTCAATCCCTCCAACTTTGTTGTGTATAAGCGAGTTTAGTTAAGTCTACGACAAAACATTTGCGTGAGTTAATAATTTGTGTGCCTACTTTTGAGTACTTTTGAGGTTATCTATGTGGTATTTTGTAGATGGACGCATGGCTTGGGAATAGGAAACGGATATTAGTATTAAATAGAGAAGATATGATATCGAACGATGATCGAAATGATTGGGCGAGATACTTTGCAAAGCAAGGAATAAAGGTCATTTTCACAAATGGCAAACTTGGGATGGTACGGTTTCTATAAGTTTGATCTTTGCTTTGGGATTAATCTTCTATACTTGGCACTGTTGGTTACATAATCTCTGAGTGATGGTTACAGGGAGCTATGAAGCTAGGTCGGTTAGCAAAGAGTTTAGCAGGTGATGTAAATGGGAAACGGCGAGAAAAAGGACTTCTCCCTAGATCAGTGAGTAAAGTGTATCATGATCTATTTTTCTCTGATGCAACAATTATGATTTCAATTTAAAGTCTATATCCAATGATGCAGGTTAGAGCTGGGATAATTGGATACCCTAATGTTGGAAAATCATCTTTGATCAATCGTCTATTGAAGCGCAAAATTTGCGCAGCAGCTCCAAGACCAGGTGTAACTAGAGAAATGAAGTAATAATTTCTTTTAAAAGCTTGTGAGACTCAGTTTTCCAAACACATTCAAGAACCTTATATTAACCTCTATCACTGGTCATTTTTCTTACGTTACTGTAAACAGATGGGTCAAGCTTGGGAAAGATCTTGATCTGTTAGATTCACCTGGAATGCTTCCTATGCGTATCGATGATCAAGCAGCTGCTATAAAGCTTGCAATTTGTGATGACATTGGAGAGAAAGCTTATGACTTCACTGATGTTGCTGGAATCCTTGTGCAGATGTTAGCACGGATTCCAGAAGTAGGTCAGTTCCTTAAAATCACCAATTCTTTCGAGATACTCTTCTCTGATTTTCTAGCTTCGAAAATGAAACTCAGCATTCTCGTCTTAAACAAATAGGCGCAAAGGCTCTTTACAACCGATACAAGATCCAGCTAGTAGGCGGCTGCGGTAAAAAGTAATGAAATTTCTTTTGCAACCGATACAGAGATCTCATTTCTTTTGGCAAACCATTGTAGATTCTTATTGAATCTCTTGCTCTCTCTCCCTTTTGCAGATTTGTGAAGACGCTTGGTCTAAACTTGTTTGGTGGAGATAGTCATCAGGCTGCATTCAGAATACTGACGGATTTTCGCAAAGGAAAATTCGGGTATTATTCGTTGGAGAGACCTCCACTCTGATAAACTTAGTAAGAGACTAAGAGCTATGCTCAAAATCAGAAAACATAAACGTGTCCATTAATATATGTATGCATATTTTGTATTTCGTTGGGTGCGTAGAAGACAGGTTAAATCCTAGATATAGAGAAACTGGAATCAATCCACGACAACATCAGTGTCAGTCTCGCTAACCATTGTGCTATTACGCCCAAATGTATGAATATATTTTGTTCATGTAAAATATGAGTTAAGTGTTTGTCTGTATCTTCAAAAAGCTTATAACTATATTATATCAAGGTGTTAAAATGTGTTGAAACTTGTAAGGGAGCAAACGGAATTTTTTATTTGCAGATTAGTGATATTAAACCCGTAATTAATAATGTCTTGACATCTCTAAGAAATTTATTTATTTATTTATTTTTATAACTTTTTTATAGAAACGACCGTTGGATAAGAGATATTTTTTGGGATGGAGCGAAGAAGTCGTCGACCAAAGTCCCAAACACTTGACATCTAGATCTACACTTTTGTCTCTTTCCATTATTAATTGATCAAAAATAAATAGACAAAACAAAGTGTTAGAAAAAATTAGAACGTTGGGCCGACTTTCACAGATTCTATTTAAAAATCCTCTTCTTTCCACAATCTCTCATCTTTAATAAACTAGCCGTTACATCATCTTCCCTCTCTTTCTCTCTCTTTTGCTCCTCCCATCAATGGCTGCTTCTGTTGAAACTCTATCATCACCTAATCATACTAACCAGGTAACTTCTTCTTCTACTCCGATCAAGATAAAATCATGGGTTTGATTCAAAATTGAAAATTTCGTTGAAACTGTTTAACAGGAAGGAACAAGCTTGAACATGGTTTCTGCAACTTCTTTTGGTTCTTCTCCACCGGTTAGCCCATCTTCAGACAAGCGTTTATGGAGCAATCTTCGTAACAGGATTGATGTTCTCCTCGAAGAAAAGAGCAAAGATCACAAACCCATTGCCAATAATACGATTATTACTGGAGAATCAGAGAGATCAAAGAGATTTAAGAATGATTCGATGCTTTTGCTTAAAGGGTTTGATTCTGTTTCTCATACTCTGTCTCTGCTTTCTAGCAATCTCGACAATGCCCTTCAGGTAAAAAAATATAATATCCATTTTAATCTGATTAGAAATTAGGGTTTTGTTCATCCTTCATGGTCAATGATATAATGTATTGTATTCTGTAAAATCAGGGAGTTAGAGAATTAGCTAAACCGCCTACGTTATCTGAGATACTCCACTCGAATCTTAAAGCTGATCAGATACAACGACAACAAAAAGAACAAGTAGAAGAAGAAGAAGAAGAAGAAAAAGAAGAAGAGAGTAAAGGGACGAAGAGGAAACACGAATCTGATGTTGAACAAACAGAAGATTCGTCGAATGAAGATGAGAAGAGACCAAAAGATAGGAAAATCATGAAGAAGGCTAAGAACGTATGTCTTTAAGTCTTTTAGTGTTTGTTTTTTCTTCTTTTACGTTTAAAGTTTTCATAAAGATTCAATCTTTATTCCTTGCAGATTGCGATATCCATGGCAGCCAAAGCGAACTCGCTTGCAAGAGAGCTTAAATCTATAAAATCTGACCTCAGTTTCATCCAAGAACGTTGTGGATTGCTAGAAGAAGAGAACAAGAGACTCAGAGATGGGTTTGTGAAGGGTGCTAGACCTGAAGAAGATGATTTGGTATGTACACTATCCAAAAAAATGGTTCTGTTTTTGCTCTGTTATGCTCTGCTCTCTGTCTTATGATTTTGATTCTATGAAAACAGGTGAGGCTACAGTTGGAGGTGTTGCTTACAGAGAAAGCTAGATTAGCGAATGAAAACGCGAATCTGATTAGAGAAAACCAGTGTCTCCACCAGATGGTTGAGTACCATCAGATCACATCTCAAGAGCTATCTCCTTCGTATGAACAAGTCGTTCAAGGTTTATGCTTAGATTTCTCATCCCCTGTTCCTCGATTCGATGATGAAGTAGAAGAGGATGAATCAAGATCTCATGATGTCTCAAAAGCTCTCAACGAAAGCTTTGAGAAAACAGAAGAAGAACAACATTGATCAAGACACTTTTTAGATTTTTTTCTCCCTGTTTAGTAAAAACCCTATTCTTAAAATATTTGATTTACATCTGTGTTTCCTTTTGAGTAGTTTCTTGTTTGCTAAGATATAAAGCTGTAAACATCCCCACTGTTTGTTGTAATAATAATCTCGTCACGTATTATGGTAATCAAACAAACTGAAATGCTTTTGAACCTTGAGAAAGGTGGTGCTCTCATGCTGGTTACTGAGACTATCTACTTTTCTCAACAATTGATTTGTGCTTGTTTGTAACCTTAATTATAGGGTTTGTTTTGTTACTAATCAGAGACAGTTTGGGAAACTTCCTCCGGTTCAATTCGGTTTATTTCGATATAATCATCATATAAGATGAATTGCTTACAAGTCAATTTGAAAATTTGAGTGCCCTACAACGAACCTTCTATATGATTGGTAAATTCTTGGCGAAACACCACCTTATACCACCATTATCAATAGTCTCTTAGACTTGTGGAGATGAAAAAATGAAATTGATAGTTTGATGAGTTTCTTTGACCGCTAAATTCAATATATGAGCTGATTGCAAATTTGTTTCAAACAATGGCAGTTTTGTAAGATGTTTGACTGTTTGAGACTGTAAAGCCGAAGGCTTCTCAAGCGACTCCTAGTTGAATGAAGAAAGATAGTACCAAGTTAGACGATAAGTGCTCATGACATAGAACATCATTTTCTCATAATACAAGCCATACGAATTGCAAACAACATTTTCTCTGATTGCAAATTTGTTTCAAACAATGGCAGTTTTGTACCATGTTCTCTCTACATTCAATTTGACACGTAGGTTTAATAGGGTTCTTTCCTTAAGATAAACCATTCTGAAAAAAGTATGGTTCCTCTAATCCAGAATAAAGTCCACTTAGTGCTTACCATTAGATTATTAATCCAAAACGTACGTTGTTAGATTTCTAATTGGATTTACAAAAAACAATTTCAGCTAATGACATGTCTCCTTGATAACCCAACCTTTTGATTAATGTTGTTAAATTTACTCAGGGGATAAGTATAGTCAAAAGTATAGAGGAAAAGAATATTCCCAGTTGACATGTTTGTGTAAACATGAAAGTGATTCCTCTTTACTTTGTTTGTACAAAAAGGTTATAAATAAAAGACAGAAACCAAAATATATACTATAACACAAATATTTTTGAAGGATCGTCTTTAACTTTTTGATCTCTCCCCCCACATACATTATAATTTCAAGGTCAGCAGTGGAATGTTGATGATGCAAAAGAATACTCTTCTTCTTCCTCTGATTGGTTTGGACAAAACACCAATGGAAGCAAAAAGATTGAAAAAGTAGAGATTGGCGAATGCGACATTTGAACGGCTTATGGCTCATTGGATAGAAAGAGAGAGAGAGAGAGAGAGCGAATGGTACATATTCTTCTTAGCTTTGCGTTACTTACTTAGCATATCTCTCTCTACTAATCCATTAACATATTTTACTAATTAATACTAAAACCGTTGTTTGTGCAACACATGGTCTTTCAAAAGTTTTCTTCGCTTAAATTAGAAACTTCTTAAATCTAACTTCTTAGTTCTTAAGTCGACATCAATACTGATAATATATAATTTCTCATAAATGCATCAAAATGTCATAAGACATAACTACGGATCGAAGAAAAGAAAAGAACATATCCCATTCAATATATGTCACACATTAGTTGCCATTAGAGTCCCTTTTCTTTTGTTGTTAAAAGAAAATCCAAATCAAGAACAAAAACAAAAAACGATTTTGGCCAGCTTTTTTTTGTTCGTGTTTGAAATCATTGATTAGTAACTAATTGTACTACTAATCTCAAATATTTGATGAATTGATGTTACAAAACCCCAAAAAAAGAACATTTTGAAGTTTTAAATTGTTTGGATTCGTCTTCTCCTTATTCAAAGTCTTGCATATAAAAAAAAATTATATCACCTAATTAGGATTGTTTAGTTCTTGCATCATGACCCAACTCTCACAAAAAAAAATAAAAAAAATCATATCCAGTAAAGAATATTATATACGCGATCGTTTTATGTTCGCAATTCTTGGCTTTGATCGACATTTCAGAGTTGAAAGTGTCGATCTCATGATCCTTCCATAGTTCCATGAAACTTTGAACTCTTGTGGTATGTTGACTTGATCAATTATATAAGATTAAACCTCTAAAGATATACTGAACTTACAAAATATATAAAACCGAAATATTACTATAAAATTGTTCCACGGTTCAACTAGTGTACGTAGTTGCAACTTCTTTATTAATGCGCTCAAATTAATTAAGAAACTAGATAGATATTCATGTACATTTGTGTTTGACTCTATAATGTATAACGAGATAACCTTGTATGTATTAATATTTAGGATTAGAAATATAGAATACTGTATGAAAAAATGAGTATATGTTTTTAAAAATTCATCCATACATAAAATAACCTTATATATTAATTTATCAGATTATTTTTTGTAATTATATTAAGTTTGAATTGTGTTAGAATTTTTTTTTTTTTTTCTTAAACCTACACACAATGAATATTTACATGCATGTTCATTTTTGCTCGATATTGGTTCCATAGTGGCAAAAGGCAAATGGCACTTGTACTCTGTTTAATATTATGCATATAGTTAGGGTAAATTCCAATTTAAAATGCTTCAGAGTTAAGATCATTTCATTATGGTACTCATGCCAAGTTGCCAACTGAGGAAGTGAATTGTATGAAGTTGTTTAACATCATTTATTTCTATTATTTGTATTAGTTACAAATGATGTAAAATTTTTTTGCATCACTTAAATAAATGATTTTGGAATTGTTGATGCAAATAATTTACATCAGTTAGTTAATAACCGATGTTAATATACAAAATAAACCTAATTAACGACGGAGCTTAATTCTGATTTCCAAAAGCTTAATCCTACATATTAAAATTGCAATTATGAGTAAGGATCTCTTGATAAACATTTATGTCTTCATAGACACAAATACAACATACAGTAATAAAAAATTATTGGTAACTTTTTATAAAGAATAAAGGGACAGTTTCTTATATAATATATGGTTTAAATAGAACCAAAATCTAATCTACGTCCAGTGTTAATTAACTTCAGCGACGTCGATGCATGAACTACTTTTCTTTTAGTCTCGCATCTACAGAGAACAATATTATTGGTTGGTTCTCTTGTTTAGTTTCCTCATATAGAAAATTATTCTAATTATAGACAATGAGAAAATGCTTTCTTTTTCATGAGCCACTAGATTAATTACTAGACAACTTTTTGTTGTGTTTTTTCTTTTTTCCAATAATAGCATTCTATAATTATTCTTGGTGATTAATAAAAAAGCGTTCAATATTCAACTCTTTATTTTAAATTATCATCGAGTGTCATTTTAAATCAATTAACTAGGTAAAAATTTGTGCCATGCACAAACATAATTTACATTATCTAATTTTATAAATATGTTTATTTATAATAAAAGATAAAAGTATAAGTTAATTAGTTTTCTTACTATTAAAGACCATGATATGGTTGTACATGTTTGGTTTCATAATATGATTTAAACAGAATTTAGAAATCAAAGCTGCCTAATTTCTAAAATCACCAGATCTCGAAGTTAAATTGATCCATAACTCGAAATAAGGATGTTTCAGTCCACGGTGCTAGATTGCTAATTAGACTAATATTCGTTTTCCATCTACTAAAAAATAATACTGACACCTCATCTTTTTGTCCTAATTAACCAATATTTAAATTGTGATAACTCGTTGACATAACAAAAGTTCTTTTTAAAAAATAAAATTTTCGAACCAACGAATTTTCACTAATAGGGCACTTCAATATATTAACATTACGATATGATATAGAATTATAGAGAGTACGTACCTAAAATATAATAACTTGTTTGCAGGATGACCAAGTCAAACCTAGTGGTTCGTATTAAGTGTGTAACTGTACCTCTCCACTCAAGTTGAAACTAGACTCGCATTATAAATACAAACTCATCCCCTTGTAACTCCCCTTCATATTCATTTCACCAATCTCTTATCTTCTTCTCCCTCTCTGTCTCTCAGACTCTCACTCTTATTATGCTCTCTAAACACAACACAAAAATGTCCATAATTGTTGGCCAAGCTTACCAAAATCTTCCCAAGAAGCAAGTAAGCCCAAACTCTGACTTGGGTGGATGGAGTTTTCTGCAGTGTCTCTCTGAGACCAAAGGCATTTTCCAAAACAGAGGAGACGACGTCACAAAGAAAACAGCTTACGTCCACCCGATTGAGAAGCGTCCGGTAGCTAAACTGAGCCTAGAGATGTGCACAGAGAGCCTCGGGACCGAGAATGGGAGTGATAGTGGAGACGAGATCTCGTTACTTGCGCTCGAAGGAACCAATGATACTTCAATGAGTCATCTTACTACGAAACCTCAAAAAGAAACCAACCTTATGACCCGTGAAAACAGTTTTCCTCCGCCGTTAAGCTCCGTCAACGGATTCAACAGTAGGCGTATGGTGAAATCGTATAAGGAAGACGGTCGTCTTGTTGTCCAAGCGATTAGGGTTTGTTCACCACCTCGTTGCTTTGTATCTGAACGTCGTGAAGGAAGGCTTCGTCTCTGTTTATCAGAGAACACCTCACTTAGCCATGATGGAGATGAAGAGTTTGAAGAAGATGAGTATGAAATCGAAGCTCATGGAGATGAAGAAGAAGTAGAAGACGATGGAGTGGAAGAAGAAGAAGAAGAAGAAGAAGAGGAGGGCATAATGGGGAATAACGTGAACTTTGAGGGTGAAAATGGAAAGAAAAAGTTAAGCAGAAGGCCAAAAAGGAGATGCCATGAGAATGGATGTGAGGCTACAACGATGCGTAACTGGAAGCCGCAGCAATTTTGGGTGACCACTACTTAATGGAAAACTCAACTCAGCAAATAAATTAATTTTAAATAATAATTATATGGCTTATTTATTTTTATTTTTTGAGTGTGGTTTAATTATATTATGAAGAAAGTGTTTTTATTAGTCGTCCAATTGTATGAGTACGGCTTTCTAATTCTATTTATAAACTTATAAAACGTGAGTTATTACATACACATATAACACTACTTTTTCATCTGTTTTTAGCACTCCATGTTAACCTTTTATTTTTCATATTTCACTCACACACACACATACCAATACTTACATATATATTAATACATATATCTAATTTTGTGAATTTTGTAATATATGCATGCATTGACTGATTCGTTGAATATATCTGTTTAGTATGAAACTAAAGATTTAATTAAAAAAAAAGTATTGAAACACCGATGCTGTTCGGAATTAGGCACAATGCCTTCAACACTTCAGATTCAGGAACTATTGTTTTCTGAAAAGACTTTAATACCCTTAGTTATGTGATGTCATTCACAATATTTTTCACCCAGAAATATTATTTCCATTTTCTTCTTTCTACGCATCGTCACATTCATTATCTCTATTATTCTCTCTCTCATCCGGCTGAACCATCGTTCCACCTCCGATGGAGAAGAAAAAGAGTAATTAGCATCTTAATCGGTTAGATCCTTCATCCTTGTTGTGGTAGCATCGACAAACCTCGAAGAAACATCAATCTATGATGCTTAATTCATTCAATCCGAGAAGGTGGCGGTGGCCGAGCCTTATTCATAAACAGCTCCATGTTTGTATACTGGTTTGTCCATGGTG